TTATCTTTGACATATGCTTTCGAACCTTGGGGGAATTTGGATGGATCTTCTCTAGTTTTATTACGCTTTTCTATAATATTCTTTTTATGAGCGTCTGTTGCTTGGTGTATATTGTTGTAAATGAATTTTAGTCTTTCACGTCTATCATCATGAATTGGCTAACAATGATCTCATCTGATAGGTCAAATGGATCTAGGACATCTAAGCGGCCATTTATAAGGTCGAATGGTCGTTGTTTTGTAACACTGTGAATTGACGTGTTATATGCCAAAATTGCATTTTGCATTAGTTCTTTTGGACATAATTTTGGAAATTTAATTTTTAGAATTCTTAAGAGTTCTAGCAGGGTTGAATGTAATCGTTCTATGGGACTGTTGCTATTCGAATTACATGGTGTAGTAAAGTGAAGCTGGATTTTGTGTAATTTACAAAATTCAGTAAATAAGGAATTATTGAATTCTCTTCCGTTATCAGTAGTAACTGATTGAGGAATGCCGTGATGATTCACAGATATCAAAATATTTTCATACACTGTTGTGGCTGTACAAACTGGATCTAAATGATAGGCTTGTGCATATTTGAAAATGAATCATAACAGTAAGAAATTTTGTGTTAGAAAATTGGAAAGTGTCCATATGTAAGACTTCTAGGGGTTGCTTTGGCGTTGGTGTAAGTGAAAATTTTATTTTGGTGGATGTCTGTCATACTTTGCTACTTGACATAACTCACAATTATTTATGTATTCTGTACCATTTTTTACATATTCTTCCAGTAGTATAGTTTTTTAAGGGAAAGTAACGTTTCGTTAATTCCTCTGTGACAAGTCTTTGTTTCATGATGATGAGAGATTAATTCTTTTTGTCTGTCTTTGTCTGAAATATCTCTAACAAGCTGATTGGAAAAATAAAGTTTATATGCGTGGTTTTTGAAATACAATGGTAGTATTTTGCTAATCTGGATATTTAAATCTTCAATTTCTGAACCTTTGACAAAAATACAATATACTTTGTTTGGATCAACATAGTCTTGAAAAACTTTATGATTTCTTCCTCTATGTTATCGCTAAGCTGTAACTGTATCTTATTAACATTTTCGAAGGGCTTAGTCCTTACACTATGATATCGATAGGATGATTTCTGTTCTATAATTATCTGATTAGAAAATTTGTTAGTAACATATTCAGTGAAGGGTATCTCTAATATGGGGTTTTCTACTGCTGTATGGACTGTAATACTGTCATCACTTGGCTGAGGGGGTACAATTTGGATATCTGAAATTATTTGTATTTTGTTAGGGTTATCAGGAACTTCAGGGATGAGAAATTCCTCTAGTTCTTGTAAGTCTTCAATATTTATTTCGGGGTTATCATCGTCTTGTAGAAACTGAAGGATATCTTCATCAGAATCTCCAAGATTTGCAATTGAAGCGTTATATTCCCAAAGGGTCTAAGTGCGAAAATTTTACTTCCGAGAAAATGAAGAAATAAGATATTCTTGTGATGTAGCGATGTCAAATAAAACAAAAAAATATGAAAGTAAATTTATTCGATTAAAACATCAGGTTATTTAACATTTTACGAGAAAAGGTAGCAAAAATAAACGAAATATATTTTGGAACACAAAATAAATATTAAATTTTTAGAAGGTCCTATGTCTAATGCATCGTGTCATTGTAAAAGGGTCTATGTGAAACCAGTAATTCCATTCAAAATGTTTACTCTGGATTGTTTTGCTTGGTTTTTTCGATGATACCGGTATAAAATGAGATATATGCAAGTGGTATGTAATCTAACATGTCTTCTAAATTTTTGGCCTTTTCCTGAGATATGGGGTTTTTGCAATCTAACTGTGGCAACGGTGTTGTTTTAAGGTCACTCAAAGTTTTGCCTCGTTTTAAAACGTTACAAGAGGTCCATTCTTCCATTTCGTTAAACGTTGTTTTTGTTCTGACTAAAGTTGGATTTTTCTTAGAAACTTCTATCCAACAAGCTTTGGATATATTCAGTTTGGTCGTGTTTAAAAAGCTATCGGAAATCTCTTGAAGATTTTTAAAATCTTCTCTATTCATACGAATGACATTGAATGGATTTTTATGTTGTGCACTCCTAATCATTTTTTCAAGATGATCCGGTACGTAGTTTTTTGTGACTCTTTTACGACGCTCAATCTGCGCAAAGTCCCTATCACATGCCAAATAGGAATGCCCGGAAACTAAAAATTTCTGTTCAATTTTTTCAAACTTTCCATTATGGACCAAATATATGAACAAAAAAAAGCATCATTTTGTTTTTGTTCTGTCCTATGCAATTATCCGACCAAATCACTAAGTTTTTTTTCATATTCAAAGCTGGCAAGTTAAGGCACTTTAAAAGGGCAGATCCAATTTCATTAGCTCCTCTACCTGTTATGGATTCGTCCCAAAGACACATATGAGCAGTTCCAGTATCAGATATGTGTATTCCTAGATTATAGCACGAAAGCTGTCTGCTATAAAACATCTGCGTATGTGTAAGTGTTGGCAAAAATAAAACTTGCTCTAAATCTATAGACATCATGCTAATGCTGGCCGTCGGGATTTGTGACAAATTACCGTCTTTTTCCATTTCTAGTCTATCCTTTTCCGCCTTTCTGTGGTGTAGGTCAAGTTTGGCTTTCATCTCATCCTTTTCTGTTTGATTTTGGGCATAACTTATTTTATTTTTGTAAAGATCGCAAACTGAGCAGGTGTCCGTTCTGGGGCGACCGAATCATAAATGCGGAAAATCCTTTTAAATACTGTCAAGTAGTACTTATAAGTAACCTCTGTATCGGGAAACTGTCTTTTAAATGCCAAGTATAGGCGATTTATATTCAAATCTGGACTCAGAAATTTCTTTTGTGATTTGCTTCTGCTATAATGATTCTCTTCGCAAGGAAAACTTTGTACGTGTTCTCTAACCTGGTCTCTTATCGCTGTTGTATACTTTCTTGGTTCATTTGACTTGCCTCTTTTATCTGTATACACTGTTTCTCCCAACTTTTTTTTTCTGTTAAAACTTGCACTGCCTTGTGTGATAGGGCAAAAATGTTTGGAAATGTTTGACGGCAAACCTGCACATGCTGGCCATTTCCGTTTGGAACCGTGTACCATGCAGTAGCTTGTCGACGACTTTGTTCTGCAGATTCATATTTTCCGTGACGTCTTCTTTTTACACTGCCAATTTGTATGAGTCCCAACAGATAAGATTTTTGCTTCACATGATTAGCTATTTTATAATAATCTTCAAATAAAAATATTTTTTGCTCATAGGGCAATTTTCTGCACTCATATTTACATTTACAAAATACCTGGAATAAAACAAACTTATTTACTTTTGTTGACTAAAACAATAGAAATAAACACAACTAACCTCAAAACTTGGCGCCTTCTTAGCAGCAATATCCTTGTTACTTCGATTGTGATATGCCAGACCACTATATTTCAGTCGTTTCATTTCATTCTTTTTATTTTCAGACCCTGGGGCACGTCGCTTTGGGTTGTTTACTTGATTTTCACTCATTGTTTATTATTAAATGCACGTAATAATATTACGCCTGTACTCGGCGCTTAGACCCTTCTCAATGAACAAGTCACGAGCGAGTACGAGAACGCCATCTATCAAATGGGGAGATTAAATACATTTTCGTCGGATATGTACTTGGACCCTTTTCTAATGCATGCATTAAAGCATGTAGATCCTTTTGGAGGAAAAATATGAAATTCAGAATATTGGCACTTAGACCCTTTGGGAATACCACGCTTCAATTATTGATTGATCCGTTTCATCTTGGATGGCGTTAAGTTCTACGCGAGATAAAGCATCAACATTGCTTTTTATTTTTCCAGGTTTATATTGAATTTTGTAATTGAACTGTTCAAGAAACAGTTTCCAACGTAAAAGTCTGGGGTTATGTTCTTTCATGTTAAACAAATATTCGAGGGGTTTGTGGTCGCTAACTATGGTAAGCTCACGTCCCCATAGATATGGTTTGAAGTATTTCACACCATATACTACTGCTAATAATTCTTTTTCTATTGTGCTATAATTACATTCTGCTGGATTTAAAGTTCGTGATGCATAGGCAATCGGTCGATCCTGTACTACTTTTCCTTGGCTAAGAATACAACCTATTGCGTAATTTGAGGCATCAGTAGTCAAAATAAAAGACTTTTCAAAATCTGGGTATTGTAAAATAGGTTCGTTGGTTAGAATATTTTTGCAAGTTTCAAAAGCTTTGATAAATTCTGCATTATGTTCAATTTTTGATCCTTCCTTAAGACATTTCGTAAGTGGTTTTGTTAATTTGGCAAAATTTTCGATAAAGCGTCTATAATAACCTAAAAGACCTAGGAACGATTTGATTTCTTTGACTGTTTTTGGAATTGGGAATTGTGTTATTGCTTGTATCTTTTTGGGATTCGGTTTTACAAGTAACTACGTGTCCTAAATATTCAACTTCTTTGCATAAAAATTCACATTTGTCTGGTTGAATTTTCAATTGTGTGTCCTTAGTCTCCGAAATACTAATTTCAAATTTGCAATATGTTCTTCAAGACTAGTGGAAAAAATTATAATATCGTCCATATATACTAAACAAACTTTGCCTTGTAATCCTTGTAAAACATTGTCAACTACTCTCTGAAATGTACTTGGGGCATTTTTCAAACCATATGGTAAGCGGGTATACTCGTAATGTCCATGTTCTACACTAAAAGCGGTTTTTTTCGATAGAGTTTGGATGCATCTCTATTTGATGAAATCCGGAAGCTAAATATAAAGTACTGAAGTATTGACATCTACCTAACTTGTCCAATGTATCGTTAATATTAGGTAATGGATATCGATCACTTATTGTTTTTTCGTTCAGCTTTCGAAAATCTGTTACTATTCTCCATTTTTGTTTCCCACTAGCATCCATCTTATTACTAACGATCCAGATAGGTGAGCTATAAGGACTTTGACTAGGACGTATAATTCCATCGTCTAACATTTTATTTATCTGTCTTTGAACTTCCTCTTTATGAACAAAGGGATAACGATAATTTTTTGTATGTACTGGAATTTCATCAGTAGTTTTTATTTCATGTTTAATAATATTAGTGAACGTTAGCTTTTTGTTTTCATTGTAAAATATATCCCTAAACTCATGGCAAACTTTTAATAAAGTCTGTTTTTCCTCACAGTTCAAATGATCAGTCCTAATTAATTTCGATACTTTCTGTATGCTTTCGTCACTATGTTTTAGTTCACCAATAATATCCTCAATATGAAAAATATAAAAGTTATCACTAACTTCTTTAGAATATTCAATTACGTCTAACGGATTTGAAAAATCTATCGTTATTTGTTCATCTGAATGGTTATAAATTTCTGTATAAGCAAACCATTCATTCGAAGTTGTCAAGGTCTCAGGGAAATATAAGCCATTTATTTCACCTTCAGGGATTATAACGGGGCTATTGTTAATGCTCACAGGAACTTTGATAAGAGCTACCTCGTGTGCATTTATCGTTATGCTATATGGTTCAGTGTCAAGTTCACGGAAAAATATGGGAATACGCAATGACTCACTAATTAAATGTCGATTAGTAAGGTCTATGTTGAGATTTAAACGTAGTAATTGTTTTAATCCTAATATGCCGTCAAAAAATGGATGGAAATCAAATAAAATGAAAGTGATAAAATCATCTGATTCAAATTCTGAGAATGATGGCAGATCGGCTTTAAATTGAACTTCTTTTTCTCCTACGCCTGTCTTTAATCTTGAAACTAAATGGTAAATACGTTCTGGAAAGTATTTTTCTACTATTCTAGGGCGTATCATCGAATGTGAACATCCTGTGTCAATGAGTAACTTTAAGGGTGGATTTTGAATTTTGATGTAGGGTAAAGAGTTGTCAAGATCGGAATGGATTTCGATTGTTTTGTGGGTGCCTTGGCCCTTGTAATAAAAATTTGCATCTGATTCATAATTTGTGGACGAAGAGGCAAAAGCATGTTGAGCTTCAACATTTTGAGTTTTTGAAAATGGTTTTCGATTTCTGGTTCTTTCGGGTTGTTCGGTTTCGTATCTTTCGTCGTTTTGAGTGTCATCTATTTGATATAGTTCTTCCGCAATGAAATTTCTGGGTCCCGAGGGCTGGAAATGATTTTGCCTTTGGGGATAGTTCGGTTTATAAGTATTTGTGGTTGAAACTGACATAGGCTGTGGGGAATTATGCGGTACTGTTCCCCTGGGCTTGAAGACGTTCGTGTTTCTGGGTGGTCCGAAAACTTCTTGATTTGTTGGATAGCGTTTTTGAAAATTATTATTTCGACTTTGGATGTTTATCGGCTGACTTGGGAAATTATTCCGGTTTCTGTCAGCTGGAAAAGTTTGTGGGGGTCGATAACTTTGTTGAAAATTGGACTGATGAGGAGCTTGAAATTTTTGATAATGAAAATTCTGATTTGGTGCCTGATTACGGTAATTGTTATTTGAATGTCCAAACTTTGTCTGTGGTTTGGAATATGAATTTTGTGTGTTACTACATAGAGTCTTTGAGTGATTTGGGAATTTGAAAATGTTTTGCGTATACTGGAAATTTTCTTCCTCAATAATATATGCCATTGCTTCTTCTAGAGATGAAGGATTTTTCAAACGAATAACCGTTTGTAAAGGTCCTGATAATCCGCGCACAAATGCTCTCAAACAGATACCGTCGTACTGCTTCATCATTGCGACTTTTACTTCGGGCGTTGAGTCTGAAATACTCAATTTCTGTGCAAGAGTACTCCTTAAAATTTGAAGTCTTTTTCCAAAATCTAAGGGTGACTCATTTCTATTTGGTGAGGCCAGAAATAGATCTTGTTCCAAGCATTCTAAACTTCTATTATCACCAAAACACTGTTCTAAAGCATTTTTTATTAAAGACCAGCTATTTAATTCTGTTCTACAGGCAACTAAAAGTTGAGCCTTACCAACTAATTTAGTCTGTACCACTCTCAATAAGTATCTCTTAATCGTTTCTTCAGAAGTGTTGAATGTGTCGAATAGATAATCACATGATGAAATGAAGCTTGGTAGTGTATTGAAATTACCATCAAAATTTGGTATTGTATCTACAAACATGCGTAACATTTGTAAGCTATTTTCTGGGAATGCCATTTCTTCATATTCTGATTCTGAATCAGTATTATTAATTCTTAAGTTATTTAACTCGTTGATAATGTCTGATAATGACATAAAATCACAACTTTTCAAATAAGATCTCCTATACAGGGAAATCAATTTGAATGGGGCGAAAAGGAATTTTGGCTCTTACCTTCTACTCCTATCTTCTTGGAAGGCGGCAGGCAGAAGCAAGGGGCCAACTTCTCGCTCTTGGGCTGTGGATTCTCGTTCGTTTCTGTAGGTCGAACGCCGAAGGGACGATACCCACGTTTTCACGAAACCGGTCACGATACCGCGAATTTTCGGAAAACTGCGTTTTATCCTACTGCTGACTGCGCCAGTTATGTTGCCGAGATGGCCGTTCGGGTTTTTAAAAAAACTTTATTTTTACTTTTACAAGACAATACAATATACTTGATATTTTATAATGGATAGATGTACAATAAGGCGAACAAAACGAGTAATGAGTAATGAATGGTCTGGA